CAGTCCAGTTGGAGAAAGGCTGATAAACCAGAACATGCAGAGGAATTTGATAGTGCAACTGAAGAAAGAGCTGTACATGGTATTGTTGTCAAAAAGCAGATTGACAGTGTGACACCTGACCAGAGTGGGAGTGATGTACTTGATGATCCTAGTGACAGGCCAGTTGGAGAAAAAGTTGATAAACCAGAACATGCAGAAGAATTTGAGAGTGCAACTGAAAAAAAGGCTGTACTTGATGTCATTGTGAAAAAGCAAATTGACAGTGTGACACCTGGCCAAAGTGAGAGTGATATGCTTGATGATCCTAGTGGCAGCCCAGTTGGAGAAAAAGCTGATAAACCAGAACATGCAGAAGAATTTGAGAGTGCAACAGAAGAAAAGGCTGTACAAGATGTATTTATCAAAAAGCAGATTGACAGTGTGACACCTGACCAGAGTGAGAGTGATATACTTAATGATCCTAGTGGCAGTCCAGTTGGAGAAAAAGCTGATAAACCAGAACATGCAGAAGAATTTGAGAGTGCAACTGAAAAAAAGGCTGTACAAGATGTCATTATCAAAAAGCTGATTGGCAGTGTGACACCTGACCAGAATGAAAATGATGTTATTGATGATTCTAGTGACAGGCCAGTTGGAGAACAGGCTGATAAACCAGAATATGTAGATGAATTTGAGAGTGCAACAGAAGAAAAAGCTGTACATGGTGTTGTCAAAAAGGAGATTGACAGTGTGACACCTGACCAGGGTGAAAACGATGTACTTGATGATCTTAGTGGCAGTCCAGTTGGAGAAAAGGCTGATAAACCAGAACATGCAGAAGAATTTGATAGTGCAACTGAAGAAAAAGCTGTACATGGTGTTGTTGTCAAAAAGCCGATTGACAGTGTGACACCTGACCAGAGTGAGAGTGATATACTTGATGATCCTAGTGACAGGCCAGTTGGAGAAAAAGTTGATAAACCAGAACATGCAGAAGAATTTGAGAGTGCAACTGAAAAAAAGGCTGTACTTGATGTCATTGTGAAAAAGCAAATTGACAGTGTGACACCTGGCCAAAGTGAGAGTGATATGCTTGATGATCCTAGTGGCAGCCCAGTTGGAGAAAAAGCTGATAAACCAGAACATGCAGAAGAATTAGTCAATCAGATTACAAATGAGGAAGAGGCCTGTAGGCCTTTCTCTGATCAAAACAGTGAAGCAAATGATATTATTGAGGATTCATTTCCTGAGTACAAAACATCACTTTCACAAGCCAATGTGCCTTCATCTCTTACAGAGCAATACAAACAATCACCTGATTCAATGCATTTACAAACTCATAAATATGTAACTACAACCTCTTTGCCTTCGCTTGAAGCCATTACTGCTGGACATCATTGCACATCCTCGGAGGACTCTGTGTTACCTGAGCAAACTGAATCTTCTGAAGTTTATGTTGTGTCTGATCAACACAGGCCTTCTGGAGACTCAGTTACTCATGAATATCATGAGTCAACTATGGATGATGGGCAGCAGCCTGACTTTGCTAAAGACTTTGCTTATCTCAAATCTTCATCTGTCCTTGATGCTCAACATCTGTCAACTGACCAAGACACTGCTATTGCAAAGCCACAAGATTTGACATACACTGTACATCCTGGTTTGGTGAGATCTTCTAAACCTGATTCTAGTATTTCTGTGTTACCTGGTGGTGGGCTTGAACCTTCTACTATCAACTCTGGTGTGTCTGTCTACCATGGTGATGATATGTCACTAGCCGAGGTAATCAATCTTGGTGAATCTCAAACACCAGAGAAAACTAAATCACATATTGATCCTATTACAGTAGAAGGAAATATGCCAATATTTGTCAAACCTGGAGTAGAGAAGCTGCCAATTATCAGACGAGAGATGCCAGATCCTGTCATGCCTGTTAAAACTGACATTCGACCAAAGAATGCTGGATGGCAAAATGCTGAAGCTCTTGATGTCAGACTACGGCCTGATGAACAAACTGGTGAAACACCATGTAAGTGTATTTTAATTATTTTAAATGGGAAAAGTCAACTAAAGTACATGTATCTTTGATTTTTCTATCATTGTGTATTGTATATTCTAATGGTTCTCATTGGTTAGTCATGTACGTTGTCTTTTCACAGATGAAAAGGATCCTGCAAGTCCACGGAAAGTAAAAGATGAGAAAGTTAGGGAGTTAGAAAAAGAGTTTGTTAAACTAGAAGAAAAGGTAGGTTTAGTGTTTGTTTATCTAATAGTAAGAAAGATACTATTAATACTGTGACAGGCATGAATATGTGTCAATTGTGGAAAATATTCAACCTTTGTAAATATTTATCTTGCCTAAGTACAAAAATCAATTGCTATGCTGTTCAATAAACTGTGGTGTTCATATTTACTTCATATTTTCTCTACAGATATGATTTTAGCTGATATATTGTAATTTGCATGCATTTGACAGTGTTCAATTTGAATCATCCTCTATGGCAATTTATCTTGAGCAAGTTTATTTAAAAATTATTTTATCTGTCATGTGAAAATTTCTTGCATATGTTAGGTATAAAAAGAAATATTGTCACAAATGCATAAAGAGGGACTTGCATGACAATTAAAAAAATATTTCTAACATTAGCTTCACCAAATTAATTTTAATGACATTATACTTAATCCTCTTTCCCACATTCATCTATAAATGTATCCACCATTGTCTGCATTTGACATGTCACTGCTGATTGTAGTATCCCGTGGAAAATATTTAATTTAACAGTTCTTACTAAATATGAACAAAAATTAATGTGGAATTAATAAAAAAAAATTCAACCAGAAATCTATCGGATATTTCCTCTGTCTATAAATGTGCATCTCAAAACAACTATTTTTACTGTGTGTTAAGATGGGTGAAAAGGGCAGTGAGCTGGAGTCAGCATTTGACAGACAGAAAAAGTACCAACAAGTTCTAATGGAGCTGACCTCAAGAATGGAATCTGCTCAATCCAGACTCAGTTCTGTAGGTGAAATAGAAGATCCAGATGAACAACTACGAGAAATCCAGGTATGGGAATGACTTCAATGATAAGATACACAGAGTCATTATGGCTTCCTCAGTCTTTCACAAAAAAAGTAGGATGCATCTATCAACACAACAGAAAACAGTATTGTGGTGTTCCTAATGTTTAGTTAGCTGGGTAATAATAGAATGAAACATTATCCAGCTTGTGAAATGTGTTACATATTTTCTCAATTTGAACTCATCCGTGCAAGCAAGTGAAGAATGGTAAATTTTAATAATTTCATTTTGTTATCAGGAAATAATGAAGGAAATAGCTGATTTGAAAGAGTTTGCTGGTATTGTTGGTGAGAAGGGCAGCAAAGTAATGGAAGCGGGCGATATTCAAGGACAGCAAGCTATGGAGGCAACACTTGGGATACTTAATGACACTCTAGCAACGTTGCATGCACAGTCTGCAAGTAAACATAATGCATTGGAGGTAGGGTTTCATTGCATTATCTTTTAATGTAACTCTTAGGGAAATGTGGTTTAAGTACTAGACTCAGTACTATAATTTAGAGATTGTGTCAGGTAGAAGGAAGAAACCAAAAATGTCACCATCTTTAAAGAAATGTAAAAAATGCAATGAAAATAAGATTGAATATGAAAGGCATTTTATTTTAGAAGGCACCTATCATAGAAATGAGCAAAGAACTTCATTTTAAATTCAAATTCAAATGTTCAAAAAGACAATGTTCACTGATTTTACAAATGGAGAAATTCAAATAGCAATCTAACAATAATTCAAGGGAGGGGTGAGCAAAAAATAAATTGTATTTTCCTGTTATTTATTTTAAACTTGCAGTTCTATGTAATTCTAGCTGCTGTTATAGTATACGGTATCCTCTGTTGTGTAATAATGATGTTCTATGACTGTTAAGTGCTAGCATATCTCATTAAATTCCCATGATGCAACTATGATAAGAAGAAAAGCACATGTTTTCTAGTCACATGTGGTCATATATCACATGTAAGGTTGGCACATACAAAAATTCAAAGATATATCTCTTCTGTAGCGCATACATATTAGTATACATATCTAATTTTTTAAGATGTATATATTATAATCTATCTAATGGATAAGTATGTCAGTACCTGTTATGTTTTAAATACATTGTTGTCAATATTGATTCAGGGACAAATACATGAGAGAGATGATCAAAAGCGTCGCCTACAAGAATATCAAGCTCAACTACACGAAGTAGAAGATTGGGTAACCCGAACCATTCAGGATTATGATTCCTTAGTCTCTTTTGAGGATGGAGAACACGATATGGCTGACACTGAAGGCAACATCATAAAAAATAAGGTTTGTTATGAATTTTTGCTTTTGCTAAGAATAGACAACTCTTCGGAATGATTTTTGTCACCTTTTCGCAAAATAAATCTGCATAATACCTTTTTTTGTGATCAATACATGTATCTGTAACCAATTATGTCCATTTGGTCAAAAATTAACAAATACTGTAGAACCATTTATTTTCACTGACTTTTAATTGCACTAGTTTGGTGTTTTGAACATATTCACTGTGTTTTACTTTCACGAATTTGTCAAGGAAACAATGAGTTTTATTTTTATTTTACATATTCACGTAGATTCAATTTAGGGGAATTCACTTATCAGCGAAATAGTGACATTAATACCCAGTGAATAGTTAATGCATTTACAGTAAACACAAAATTTTCAAAGGGTTAAAATGTTGGAAAGTGTACGACATTACCAAATTCTGATTTTTATGTGTGATATAGTAACTTTCAAAGAATGAAAAGCCTAACAACTTGTCATTTATTTGTTTACAGCAATTACAAGAAGAACTTGCTCAGAAAATCCAACAGTTAGATGATGTAATAGTCAATCTATCCTATGATCCAAACAGTCAAGCAGAGACTCTCCAGTCACAAGCTGAATTGCTCGGGACTCGCATGGATGGTCTTAAAGATGAACTTAGCAACAATGAAGAGACTCTAAAAGCCATCAGAACACGTGAGCGGATTGCAGCTGAGTACAGGCAAGATGTCCATAACATACAGAACTGGCAAAAACCAGGAATTCCAACTATAACAGTTACTCCAGAGCCAAGTCCTGAACTATTGAGGCAGCAGGAACTAGAGCGTCAGGTAGGTTTGAAATAAATTGTTTCATCCTCTCACTATGTTGAAGTTGCTGTACTGCCCTCTGCAGTTGATTAAAGTTATTCTTTTGGATAGATTTGACTAAGCCCTCAACAATTTATCTGTGTACTTCAGTGTATAATTAAAAATGCAAAAAATGCAGTTTATCACCCCTAACTTTGTGAAGGCATAGAGTAGCTTTTGGGTGTGTGTTTCCTCGCCATTTATAACAGCCACAATTGTGCCAGGTGTCCCTGTATATTTTTGGTTATGTTTTGAAGACTGCCCTCTAGTGTCCACATACTTACATCTAAATAAACTACTGTAGAATACTTTATTTTTGCTTGGATTTTATTTTCGCTATTTTCGTTGAAGGGATGATTCCGTGAAAATAAAATCTAGCGAATATACTTTTTTTTCCTATATTTCACATAATACTCGTCCAAAATCAGTGAAAATAAATTCCATACAAAACGCCTAAAAAGCCTTTTCAGCGAAAATTAATTCTAGCGAAAATAAAGTATTCCACAGTACTTTGTTTTTTTTAAATTTACTCGTGTCCTTTTGCTATGAAAATGTATAAAAACGTTCCATCAGAGTGGAAAAATAGAAGATAATTGAAATTTCCGCATCCCTTCAAAAATTTCTAAATTATATACCGGTAGTTGCATGTATATTCATAAATGTATTAATTCATTTGTGGGATGTCTTCATACCATATCCTATACAACTGATACTTTAAATATCACAGCAGTGGTGAAACTATCAGTAACCAAACTTATGATTGCTGTATCAAAATAATTGCCAGCAGAAACAATTTTTCGAAATAATGAATTTTGACCAAAATTCAAACATAAATAAGTCCACTGTTTTTGCAGCTAAATAAGTACATTGTATATTACATGTTTGAAAAGCGTGATATCATTGCTCATTAACATATCATTTGAATATGTGATTAGGGTACTCTCCTTTAAGCCTGATTCCCAAGCGTTAATTGCATTCTGCAATGCCATTGGTCAGGAATGTGTTTGATTGATGTGCGCACAGAATAGGATCATCGATGCACATCAATTTGCATAGCCTTATTTTATATATCGTATATGTGTATTGTATGTATTGTTTGTCTGAGATCACCTATGAGCTCTGTTCTTTCTGCTACTTTCTTTCTTCATTGTCAAGTTGAGTAGAGACCATATAACTTGTTTATTCAAGATAACTTGTTTATTCAAAGTTTAAAGTGAGAATAAAAACAGAGGCGTAACTGTAAGACTGTCATTTTGTCTTGCATGATATATTCGTTGCTTACATGTGTGGGAATTTCCTGACCCCTGTGCCTGAACCCCCGGAAGATAAATAGGAATATTGGTTGTATGGTTTAGTGAATAGGAAAAGTATAATTCTTCAGTGTTTTTTATTGGCCATCTGTTGGTGTGTCATGTAGGCCTGTTTTCACAATCGGCGAATTGGGTGTAGGAATTCATATGTGTGTTTGGATTTTAACTCTCAAAGATAAATTATTTATAAAATTTGATTCAGTTGAGACAATGTTGAAACTTGTGTACAATGGCCACTAGAAGGAACGTTGTAGTTTCAAGCTTTTTAGAATCATGAATCATGATTATTAGTCAGTGAATCAGTCAGGTACATCTTGCATCCATTCCGACTCAAAACATTGAATAGATATTTCAATTTTTAGTATGTGCATGTGATTCAGTTGAGACAATGTTGAAACTTGTGTACAATGGCCACTAGAAGGAACGTTGTAGTTTCAAGCTTTTTAGAATCATGAATCATGATTATTAGTCAGTGAATCAGTCAGGTACATCTTGCATCCATTCCGACTCAAAACATTGAATAGATATTTCAATTTTTAGTATGTGCATGTGATTCAGCTTGTTTGTGAAAATTACAATAATTAATAATATTATTAATAATTAATATTATCATAACTGTGTATCAAAACATGTATGTGTACCTCCCGTAGTGTTAACTGGCACTTGTAACTGATGAGGCTTGACTATATAATAGCACAATATTCTCTTTCTGTCACTTGTTGTACAAGATAAATATGAGATAATTGATATCACCATAACAACATATTTGATTTGGAAATATGTGCGTGTTATCACTGTATATATATGTGTCTACATTTATCGGATACAAATTTGTGTACATTTCACTATTTATTTTTTTAATTTTCGTATTGTGGAAAGATGTGGCAAATCTTCATTGAAAAAAAGTTTGCAAAATAATAAGAAGGTTCAATCAGGTTTTCTCTGGTCTATAGATCAATATTTGACTTTGCAGTCTGCCAGTGTTTGCATTTGGCTTGTCAGTGTGTAGTTTGTCTTTAGGTTGCACTCTCACAACCTACTTTGATCTTCAATACGACAGGTTACGCCCACCATTCAATAACTGTTCTCAACCATCTAATTACTAGTATTATTTAGCGTCAACAATTTAGTATTCAAAAAATCCTTCTTTGTTTTTCACAAATTTGGAATTCCCAGTAATATTTTAAGAATTCATTGTACTGAATCCTCTTTTCATATTTATACCGATTACATGACACAAAATCGATATGCCTGAATCCAAAGTCCTCTTTGAAATCCATTCTGGACTCTCAAATCTTTATCATGCACATAACCAATGAGTTAGAGGGGCTTGGTTTTGTACGTTCACTAGGAGGCACTAATATCTGCATAACAAATGCTCTCTCTGTCAACCAATGAGCTTTGCTGTATTGTGCCAGCTCATTTGCATTATTTGTTTACAACCTTATTGATGTATTCTGGCTGTGTAACCACTGAGCTTTCAATCTGAGCTTGTTCACCAGTCAGTGTGCTGGGTGACAGTCATACCACACGACTCCACGTGTGTTGTGCATTTATTTTTATGTTTATCTGCCTAATTGATAGTTATTTCTGTTGGAAATTAATTACGCAGTCGTGAAGTGTCTGGTTTGTAATAGCTGTTTAAGAACTCACCTTTGCATAGCATGTTTATTTAATAATGACCATGCAGCAGATGCTAGATTGATGGATGTAACGTCTAGTTTATATCCCTTATGATCTTTCCTATTACATGGATTATTTAGCCGTGGAAATTAATAGTTTTCGGAGATGATGATGATTTGCATGCCACCAAAGCGAAGGAAGCTTTTCCATAATGAAAGAGTAAGCGGTATTTTTATTTATGTTTACGGCAGTTGGGCATGTGATATGTGACATCACTGGAAAGCAGCGGGAAGTTTATTCACAGTTACGTGTGTATGTAAGTGTGGTTTGAATGCAGTAGTCATCATGGGTCATACAATTTTTATGATCCTAAAAATCATTCGATTCTTGTATCATTTTTGTACGTAATCTACTAGAATTACTATGATGACAGTTTATGAAACATCTGTAAATTTCAGTGTGTCAAAATTCTATTATGACTTCATGCATTTACCGAACAGCTGATACAAAACTAACATATAAACTGTTAGCATTACCTGAACTACAAGTATAGCAATACCATCTCTCAACAGAGACGATGATTGTCAATGAGTACTGTGGTGTGTACATCTATAGTAACAAGGCAAACACAATGAATCCGCTGAATGTTTAGTTGCAGACAAAACTCGCTGTTTTTTAGGTGGCATGAGGGAATTCCATTGTCCCATTGTTGTCACTAATCACATGTGTCTTTAATAACCCAAAGCCAAGTTTTTTTATTTTTTTTGTGCTTTGCTTATGCCACTACTAATTATAAGATTGGTTATACAAAGCCATACTTATCACATGGATACTTTTATGGTGTTTTGGTGTTTGCCACAGATTATAACACTACGTGGTGCAAATGATAAGTCTGTACCTGTCCTGACTACGTACAATTGTCTGTGCATGACTTAAATCACGATCTGTCAAACTTAATTAAAAATAAACCGAAATACATACAAACATTCATTCTGACCAAACCAATTCAAATGACATATGAAAAAAAAATAACAGAAAGCTGCCAAATTAAATTTGTTTATTCAAACCATGCTCACTATGACTTTTAAAAGAATTCTTATGCCTGTTAGTTTTAATGCCAGACACAAAATGTTATCGCAATTGAGTTGAGATCCGGATAGATTCATGGTCAGGTAATCACACAGGATGTGACAGCCTTGTTACCGCTATTGTAATATAAATAAAATGGATACTTTCACCCAGATTGACCTATGTTAATGATAACCCCATTATTGAATTATTGACACAAATGGTTGCCTGAATAAGGTATTCTTGTATATAATTTAGAATTACATGGCTTAAATAAATTTCATTCTTGACTGTACATTTCAACAAATGTATCCATGCCCTGTTTATGATTAAGATTGTAGTAGAAATGTTAACAGTAGATCATGTTGTAATTACACATGCATGAAAGTGATGATCAAAGGATTCATAGATATTCATGTTTGACCCCTTGTTAGAAATGGAATAGAATATAACATTGATTTTTAAAATTTGCCAATTTTTTTTGTCGGCTTCTACACATGTAGAATGAATTCAAGCGTTTTATATGACATACCAGCAATGTAACTTGTAGGTATTCCTAAGCTTTATGTGCGTGTTCAGAAATTAAACAGGTTTAAAAAATACCATGTGAGTGATGCTGCAATGAATGTTCCAAAGATCACTATTTACGTGCTTCATTGCTGACTGTTTTATCTCTGGAACAAAGGAGTCTGCATGGTCATAGTTGCTCTTAGTACAAGTCTGATAGGGAGCAAAGATATGTTTGTTATTGATTCCATGCAACTGATTCCAGGTCATGAATTCTGGATATACAAAATTAGCAGTAGAAAACATAGTTATTGTATACCGTACTTACTGTTATATAGCAAGGCACTAGAATCTTAGAAAGAGCATGAATATATTTATTATGTATAGTTTCCATTTTAAAAGCAATATAGAATTACATTATTTGTTAAATGTTAATACTCAAGTCACACTTGATACTTGGGTTAGAATTACAAGAGTTTTAATAAAAGGTCAAATAGCTTGTTACATTTGGTCCATGGAGAAAAAGATATGTTTTGGTCCCTTACTTTGTAAACCTTGCTGCCTACTCAGAAGCTTAGCAACTCAACTCTTGGAATGTAACAATTCTGTGACACTTGATGCAATTTTTAACCTGTGAAAGCAAAACCATCTGCTATATAGGTGTAGATGCACACTACTGTAATGTTATCGTCTATTATTTCAATAGTTCTTTACTGCTATAACTTTAACAATGCAAACACAGCACATACCATTCACATGGATTCATTTCAGTTCTGCATCTGCTCAAAAACTATTGTTTATTTGTTACCCTCACCCCCAGGATAGGAAACTTTGGATGAAAACAATGATGTGGTCCATTTTCAAACTTTAACTGATAAAATGTTGCTTTTCAAATGTAAAGATGGGAAGAATCTCGTGAAGTGAGCTCATTAAAGTTTAAAATATCCACATCATTAACTTTCCCACCACATACCTAGTATGTATGTAGATGGTAAACGCCTTTGTTGCGAAATTACTTCAGAACTTCAGGATATTGATGATACCTGCTTGCCCTATTACTAAGGTCATCAAATCTATTGTCAAAGATTACACATATGTGTTTATTATTTTATTGACAACAATTGTCACCATGGTGATGATGAGAATGGTCTGCCAGATATTTTATGAGCACATGTTTCAGGTTGTTTTGGTTTTCATGCATATCCTAAGCTTTTTAGGTCTTCCTGTGGCTACTACCGCGGTATTTAATTATATTTACTGTGCTATGTTTCTGCTGAGTCTGATGTGAGTTGTCATCCTTTTCATTTCTTGACATTCCATGTTGCACTTAAACCAGGTGATATTATCTCTGTTAGTGTACTGTTCTTTTTTTATTGCACTACTTTGACACACTGGTATCCTACCAACTGTGACCAGCCATAACCCCCATGACCATGACCGAAGTGCCAGATGGAAAAAAGCAATTATCGCTTCACTGTAGAACCACTTGTTTCAATGCATATGGTTGGTTGCTGTAACATGGCAGTGCTAGCTCAGGGTTGTTTGGAATATTTTTTGAAATGATTAATATACAGAATATAATGATCCGAGTATAAAAGACCAATAGAACACAAATCAATAAAACTATATTAAAATAATAATTTTATAATATCAAAGTTAAATTTTTCCACATAGCTTTCATTGTTCAATAAGTATACATGAATATCCTCTTTCTATTCTTATATTGTGTTAGATTTCTTGCCTGTAACATGATGCGTTGTAAGAACTTAATCATCTTTTCTTTTATCCTGTCATGCTTACTGATTGATTGATTATGTTTTTTTTCCTAGCAGTTCACATCTCTTAGTGGTACCGGGTTTCATCTCATAATTCTTTCTCTTTATTTGATTAATTTGTAAATTATAACAGTAGTGTACTGTATTTGGATTAAACTATTATATAAACTACATTAAAAATAAAACTACACCTTTGTCCCTCCTTGGAAATCAGGTTTAGTGTACCATACAATCACATTATGCAAACAGTTTCCAGTCAAGGGCACCTTTTATTCCATTCCAAACATCCAGTTGTTGTGTTTACTCATACCAATTTAATTTGTCTGCTTCAGAAGGTCAATGGCTTCACAATTTAAATGGCTTAGGTATCGGCATTGTTAGCTTTTAAAAAAAAATGAAGGAAACAAGTTTTGATGAATGAGGTGTCTGCATTGCTTGACCTTTAACATCCATGAGTAACAGTCTTTGTAACTTTATCAAATTTCTCATTATTCAGAAAGTCTTGGCTAAGTTTCAAGTTCTTCCTCTGTTTTAGGTACAGTGGTCATCAATGCACAAGATATTTTCAGATAGTGCCTTGCTCGTAATTAATAAGACTGAATTATTGACACTGCAATGGTGCTTATCATTGCACCCCTATAGAAACATTTGAAGAAAAGATTGCGTTATACACTTCAGGTTTGCAGCATTGATCTTGCCATGCCTACATTGTCGTCGTTTTTACTGCCTTGGGGGCAATGAACCTGATATCTTGATCTCATTCAGAATATTCTGTTTGCCTTGCGTACACAATCAGTGAGATTAGGTTAGTTTTGCTGATTGAAATCTCTGAAAACTAAATTGTAAAATTACAAAATTGCATTCAGTTTTTGAGTTACTGGTTTAGTAACAAAGCTCTAAAAAGATGTCCGTACTAAACCTAAACATTCTGCTTTGTAAAAAAAAATATATATATATTACCGTTATACACAGTATCCAAATATTTGAAATGTGCTTGAGGAACCCACCTGTTAGATTAAAATATACACTATTTGCTTTGTATTTTTATATTAAGCAGTAGAATACACCAAGATGCTATTGCCATTACACTGGTAAATAATAGGCAGTTCCAGGGACAACTATAATATAAACTCCTCTCATCTCTAAACTTAAATTGCCAGTATTCGCTTTAAGACATGTTTATGCTTTGTTTACTATTCTATGCATTAGCATATCTCCATCCTTGGGTTCTGGTCTTTCGATGAGAATATTATCATGACTTTACAATAGAACATTTTTCAAATTACAATAATGTTTTCACACATATATTGTTATAGGGAGTGGATGCTGATTCAGTGTTAGATATTTGAGAGGCTTACTAAAGGTTACTTATCATAATATATGTGTGTATGCCACTCTAAACCATTTAAAATATTGTTAACAAAATGTTTAATATCAATTTAAACAAGTACAATAGTTTTTTGCTGTAAACATTTTTCAAAAAATGGTAATCAATAACTCAAACCGAAAAAGATTAAATTGCTGATGATAAATTTAATCTAAGATGTATAAATGTTCATAAATTCCTCATCCATATCATTTTACAAATATAATGAAATTAGTTGCTGACTTAGTCACTGGTACCTCTATATTTACTGAAAATAGCTGCCTTGTCTCTTCTCTATTGTCTTTGTCTGAACTGAAATAATGCATTCATTGTTAATTTTCTGCTCGCTTTTTATATTCCAATTAATTCATGCTAATTTATTCATTGTTATTGTGTTTTTTTATTTCAGAAACTAGAAGAAGAGCTGTCTGCACATCAGGAATTACTCAAATCTGTAGCTAAACGTGCAGAGAAAATAGTTGGACATAAAGACGGTTCTGGCAATGAGGTAGAAGGTGATTATGCAGAAAATAAACTAAAGTGGGAGGAGCTATCAAGACAGATTGCGGATCGAAAACAGCAGCTAGAAGATAGCTTGAAGCACAGCAGAACTCAGGTTGGTTGTAATTTATAATATTATTGAATTTCAACCTGATCAGGATGTGTCTAAATTGCTGAAGTTCAATTCTATTGATACAAACGCTTTGTGTCACGTTAGAACAGTCTACTGAAGGTTATCATGGCTTGGACTTCCCTATTAAACAACGAACACATATACTGACTGGGAGATGTCATTTAGTTACTGTCACTATTCAAAGCATGTAGAAATTGGTAAATTTTATGTTTTTCTTCAGAAAAGATTGTCTTATTCATCAATACAAATTGTGAAGTGTATTTGATTAACATTTTAAGTACAAAACGTACACAGTGTCACAGAAGCTAGGGAACCCTTTGTCTGTTTCATCGCACAACCTGCTGTTCTGTTTAACACATGTACTGCCAAATCTAGTACATTAATTGGTTTGAACGTGTGAAAAATTGTGTCCAACCATGCTGGAAAGCAGAATTCTATCCTCAACTGCTGTATTTATTTTCTGTTATCAATTTAGTGTTAATAGCTAGGAGGCCACTATGCATGTACACATCAACATGGGAATACATTGTATGTCAGTAAAATGCTGAAACTCTGGCATTAAACCTACATTGTCTCAAAACAAAAAAGACACTTGTATTCAGCAGTAAATAGGTGTATTTTTACTTCTTTGGCATAATAAATGTCCCTATTCAGAATCTGGATGTTGCCTTCCTGTACGAGTCTGTGTGGAACAACCTTAACACGCAGTGTATAAGTGAATTGCTGATGGCCTCATTGCTATTGAATTAATATGTTGATTAAATTTCCTAGGACGTTCCCCCTGTGTACTATATTACAGTAGTAATTTCAATACACACACACTCTGGATAAGTCTAAAACACTATTATTATCAGTTTAAAAGTAGGCTATGACAAATTATTTTATTTATTGTAAGACAAAGTAGAAACACACACAATTTCTATAAATTTACTAATAAATTCAAAAAGGAAGGGACAGTGCATAATTTTATTTTGAGCTTGTTTTTCTATGAGGAAAATTAATTTATTAATTTATTCAATGATTCACCATAGAACACATACAATTTTTGGTTTGTATGTGCTTCTATTGGAGATGTGCTTCTAATAAAAATTAGAGCAAATATTTTAAATCATATTTATTATTGATGTATTATTTAAGTGCTTGAAGTTATCCTTACTGCCTCTTTGAATAAATGATAACAAATAATTATTTAATTACATCATCATTTGTATAGATGATCTAAACTAAAAAAAAAAACAGATGTAAACATTCGTCTTCCAGATGATTTTGATGATAAGGAGAGTTTTGTTCCATCCTATGTTGTCAATGTCGAAACCGTATTAAATCATGTCTTGTATAAATTCAAAGTCAATTCCTTCTGAGTTTCAGTAGGCCTCATGATAGTGATCTGTCTTGACATTTCTAAATCCTTTTAGATGGCCGTGCTAGACATGGTTATTTCACATGGGAGCTAGAAGTCAACTAGTGCACTCGTTTATCAAATTACTGCACAATAACATAGTTCTATCTGTGCAGGTATCCCTCAGTAAATTCCACCCTCATCATTAATACGTAATATTACCGGTAGTACCGGTAGTAGAGGTAGGGCTGTACCAAATTTAGTTGGCACAGTATGATTGCATATAATATAGTAAATAAAGACGGTAATATACATAATACATGTGAAAATATAGCAATAAAACAATAATACTGATATAGCCAAATGAAAATAACAAAGAAAATTAAAAATCAGAATATAATCAGACCAATACAATAACTGAGGTGTACTGATACACACCCTCATCCCACTTCAAAATAACACTTTATCATCCTGCAATAGATAAAATAGACGAAAAGACACTCTTCTCTCTCATCAATAATTAATGCTATGTCTGATACTTTGTAATTAGGATCTGAACAGAATATTGATCACACCCACACACTCTCCTATAAATCTAAAATATTTTCACATCAGTAATTTGGTTTTGCATTAATTTTCATTTAATATAACAGAAATGCGGTTATCTAAGTTACCATTTTGAGGTCTGTATCTTTTTTCTCTTTCTCACTCAAAATGTATTCGGACATTTAATTTGACACAGGAACAAGCTTGAAGATGGCAAAAGAGGAAAAAAAAAAAAAGAATATTTTAATTCAAGATTCACAAGAATTTTCGTAACTTAATCCCCTGAGCAAAAAGTACACAATTCTTCTATATTCCAGCTTTCTGAGAACATATATATTGCCATAGTTACATGGCGGAGAATGTCTTATCCCAATTACAATATTTCTCACTTTTCCCTTCTACTCACGATGAGTCATTTAATTTTGTCTAAACCCAACATATTTGTCTGGATCATATTAATTCGAAATCATCCACCTTCAACCTTTGTATGTTTATTTAAAGTAAATTTTTTTAAATATTAATTGACTTGCTTGTTTATGTTCAACCAAATACCACATTGAGATCATAATAACCATGACAACAAACCTAGCAAATTATGTTAATAATTACAATATATTGCCAGAATGGATAAAATGGCAGTTAATTTAAAATTTGTTTGCAAATATTTTTTTTAAATGCCCAGGCTTACAGAATTGAAAGCTATACAGCAATATGTACTGTATTTATTTATTTATTTATTTATTTATTTATTTATTTAATAGTTGTTTTTTCTCTAGCAAATATGCCAAATACAAATTATAAACCTAAGGAAAAATAGAAGAAACATATATGAGATGAAAAAAAGGAATAAATCATTTGTAATTTATCTGTCAGCTGTCAGCAGGTGAACTTATAGGGATACGTCTGGCATCAAATTAAAATGTTTTTATTTTCTATGCTTTACTTTTTTGTTCTTGCTATTGATGGTGAATGCATTGATTGCTTTATAAATCAATGTCATTTCAAAGCTTGCATCTGGTTATTTCAGGCTAAAATATATCTAATCAATATTAGTGTATTATTGATTTATTAAACCTGTTTTTCTCACACAAAAAACAAACAAAAAAACATGTAATGTGTACCTTATTTCTTTACAAATGCTACAATTATTAGAATAAATACAAGTGCTTACAAACATTTTTATCCTGTTTCAAATTATACCAAATAATTCATTATATGTACTATAATGAGATGAATCTGGCAGAAAACAGCAGATCTTATTAAACTCGATGTGAACACTCAGAGTGGCCATCTCATCAACTGCAAGCATTACGACTTCATTGATTTTCCAAGTGTGTACACTGTGTGTGTACTTATGATACTATTACTAGATACAGTACAACCCTATGCATTATATATGGATAATGAATCCTTTCATTTCAACTGAACCAAAACAATTGTTATGTGAGATTTATTATATTGACATTTTGACTTGCAGACTTATTGTATTTGCTCTATTAGAAGTGAATCTCAAATAGTAGTGCGTGCAAGCCAAATAATTTTATTTTGAATTCATTAGAAGTTCAACTAAGTTTTTTTATTTTTGTTTTTGTTCTCATTGATAATAATTCTTATCTGTGAAGCAAATAGCACAACAATTAACTCTGATATAAGCACATCCAAGACATTGACGTTGTGTTTGAATGTGTTTCTAAAGATTGAATAAATCCAAATTATGATGCTACTTTTTACCATTACGATATATGAATAATTACTTAGTGCCTGTCTATCATGCTAACAAATCTGAAAGGGAATTTGATCATTTTATCTAATTGCAATATTTTGAATGTATCTATTAATAAAAATTAATAAAATTAGTCTTATACACATATACATGTATATACATTCTACAAAAAATATACATAGCCACTTTTTGAAATTGTTACTACGGTAATATTACTAAAATCAAGACGGTTACTGAGCAAGCCATATAACCATTTAATATCGTGATATTACAGGAAGGTTACGGTAGTGGTCCCTCACAACAATATAAAGCACATAGACTTATAGGGTATGATTTACCTGAAGAAGAGACTACAGCTGAAGATCTGAAAAATGTGTTAAGTTCCCTCAGTCAATGCTGGGATAAACTTCAAACTCAGGTAATGTCAACTTTCATGTATCAATAGGACTGAAATAAGAAAACCACAACCCCTGTATGTTATCAGTTCAATTGTCGTATTAGTTGAAGCAATACCGTTGCTGTGCATCGCACGCTCAATTCGCATTTAAAACAAACAAAACATAATTGCGATAAAGTTTCTTCGAATTGTTAAATTTGGTAAAATTACAACTAGTTTATATGTAATAAAATTCATTGGTCTGGTGTTAAAATTGTATTTTACGTTTCTAATTCTCCTAACATGGACGAGGAAGATAAACTATGCAAATGAGGAAATTTGTCAACACCATGAACATAAAACTACTGTTATATCTAACAAAGAACATTAAAAATGAGTATTACCGGTATATCAGATCTGTGGCATATGAATTCAGAATAATTTCTCCTATGTTTTGTGTATGACTTGCAGGTGACAGACAAACAAACACGACTGGACCAAGCATTTGAATTTCAGCAACAATACCAGGATGCATTGATTTCCGTTTCTCAGTGGTTAGACACCGTACAGTGCAAACTCTTCTCCACAGACTGGAGTAAAGATACAGAAGAACAATTAGCAGAACATGCAGTAAGTTTTATGTAATGTTCTGTGTATGACTTGTCAGTGCGTGGCTCTGGAATAGAATCATTGTCTCTCTAGATGCTGTCTTCTCATTCTCTGTTGGATGAATACTTGTTGTAGCTTGGTTTGTGTAGATAATAGTCAGATACAAATATGAGAAACTACAGTGTTAAATTATACATAATAATGAATCTTAAGGATAAAGTTGACAAGAACTTCGGCTCCTGCATTTGTGTTTTCTGTCTCTTTTGTGTCAGATATAAAGTCAATAAGACCTCCCTCTGATTAAAATACTCATCATGTACTCCCTGCTTTGTCTCTTTTCTTTGTTCAAAATTTTGTAAAATGTCATCATCTCAGCTTTGAGAGATTAAACCAAACACATGGAGATATAATTACCTTAGGGAAGTGCTTTTATGTTGGTGAATAGACTATTACAATAGAGATAAGCAATGTAAGAAGTGACTTGCGAACATCTAAGAGCATGATGTATGTTGCTGTGACAACAGCATTATCATAATTTGTGTGGTATATCTATATAGTTTTGTGGCATTGTAATTTAAAGTGTCACTATTGTCTGAACTGCTAATGTGTGAATTCTGCAGTTCTTGTTCTTCTGTTTTCTGGCTGGTCTTTGCTGACATTGCAGGAACTACACAGTTCTTTTTAACATCAAGAAAACTATGACTAAGCACAACATACAATTTTAACCATTGTTTGAATTTATTCTTACTGTAGAATACTTTATTTTTGCTTGGAATTTATTTTCGCTATTTTCGCTGAAGGGATGATTCCGTGAAAATAAAATCCAGCGAATATACTTTTTTTCCTACATTTCACATTAAACTCATGAAAAATCAGTGAAAATAAATTCCAAGCAAAACGCTCAAAAAGCCTTTTCAGCGAAAATTAATTCCAGCGAAAATAAAGTATTCCACAGTATCTGTAAATGCATTTAGCAGATGCTTTATTTCAATTTAGCAGATGCTTTATTCCAATTTAGCTACATCAAGAATAAAGTAATGAAAATACAATAAAAGTTTCAAACAGTAATAAAATATAATATTAGATAAATGTAAAGACGATAGAAATTATTTCGTTTTAATCCTGTTACAAGTTTTCAGGTAGTATGAATGCAACTATAATATAATTGTGGTGTTTTGATTTGAGTATAAATTGAAATTGTTTTTTATTTATCAGTCTATGCAACTTTGCAGTTTATTAAGTTTTATGTTCAATAGTATGTAAATATTTATTATTGTGTGAACCTTTCCTATGTATATGAACAATTCTGATAACAGTGATGTTTTCAAAAAAAACATCATCGGATTCCATCACAATCATCTGAGTATTAGGATTAGGCAGCTAACTGATCAGGATTAAAACATTATAGAGAATTTACGCTTTCCCTTAATACTAGTTATTAAGAAAATAAATAGTTATTGATTGTAATGCAAGGCATATCTTTATCCAACCATAGCTTACTGTGAATGTCATGCATTGAATTTAAATAAGTTACCTGTATAGAAATACTGGTTTAGTGACGTGTGGCCATAGTATTGACTAGACTGTTTATCTATTCATTGAAATGACCTCAACTGACTTATCAATAAAAACAACTATAAAATTCAGGATTTTGTAAGTTATTGATTTCCATAATACTTGCTTCACTTTTGGGTCACTGAATATTTATTGTTTTTCAGTATAACACATAATATCTCATTTCAATTGTAATTGGATATACATGCTTGCAATGTCTTGGTGGTATAACATCATTATAAATGATTATGGGTGTGATTTATATAAAATGAAATGATTTACCCATGCATTGATAGAGTTTAAGGGAGTGATACAGGTAAAATACTAATATTTTTAATTAAGATATTCTCTATAATGCTTATACATTTGTTAAATGCTGTGATGTCAGAAATAGGACTGAGTCATTGTATACTTAAGAGGTTAAGTTATGGAACATGTAAATGGTCGAGTTCTCTTACACCTACAGCTTTCTAAAAATATTTATGCTTCGAGTTACATGCTTAGTTAAAATTATATGTCTTAAATTACAAACTGATTAATAAGGATTTTTTTCTGTTACTACTTTAAGCAAATTTTAGTAACAGTTGTTTTAGATCCCACATGTTTTGTCTATAGTATTCCAAACTGTATTTACCCATGATGTAGAACAATGGAGTCAGTGAATTAATAAACATTTGTTTCATTCCAGGTTTTATGCACTGAAATTCGAAACTTCCAAGACCAGATTGGTTTCATGAATCAAGCTTGCCAAATGATTATAACCGAAGCCGATTCCAAAGATAGAGCTCTGATTAAACAGGCATTGCAGGATCTCACAGATAGGTTGACAACTCTGGAAACTCGGGCACAAGGAAAAGAACAGGATTTGGTAGAGAGAAACTTGCAATACAAAGCATATCAGGTACAGTAGTGCCATTTACTAATGTACCATTACTAGGAATGAATTATGTGTTGTACATAACACTACATGAACTCAGCCTTAGAGATTAGCGACATCATCACTTTCAGAATGCATATCTTAAATTCATTTGAAATTATAGAACTCATGGCGAATTGAGAACAATGCATTGATTCTTGCCTTGTGTGTGTTGTTTTATCTGCTCCATCATATACACTTCCTACTTTCACTCATGCTTATAATTAAACTTTTGTTCAATTGTTGTTTGACAGGACGAGATTCGCCAGTTCCATGGATGGCTTAGCGATACAAAACAAATGTTAGAAGGCGATAAAGATAGGGAGGATGAAGGGAAAGGCTCCCTGGAAGAGAGTTTAATATTCAACCAGGTAAAGAAAAACTGTTTTATTAACTAGACACTTTCTTGCACTCTATTAACAAATATCTGACATTCATACAAATATGGCTTATATTATTTGATGATATTTATTTGAAAATGATAATACCGGTAATAATGTTTATTAATCTGGTACCTCCTTCATGGGAGATTTGGGATGAAGCTCATCATTATTATCATATCATAAGTTGGAATTATTATTAATAAATATGAAAATGTCCAGTTGGATACTTGGTGAGGAAAGAATTAATGAATTGATTATAAGGCAGCTGTTGCTTTACAATGTACACAAGGAGTTGTAGCACCTGCTACATGACCTTCAAACATCAACAATATTTGAATCAGGATAAAATAAAACATATGTTTAAATTTAGTGATCAATTCTCAATGAAAATATTCTTTGATCACATCTTTATGTATTTGGGTTTTTGAATTTATTTCTAGAAATTTAATTTTTCTTAAACTTGATATATGACATACTGGTAATAGTCATTTTCTCGATGGTCCCCATCAAACTCACTCTCCACCTCACACACTAATGTACCTTCCTTCTGTTTTCCACATTTCTGTTTGTTTGTGCTTACATTAAAACATTCAGGAGCCACGATTATCCTATCAGGTTGAGTACTGATAATTGTTATAAATGTCTTGCTTGATTACACAGTGCATGGCTGTGCATAGATGTTGCTAAGTTATATTTCAGTGTTATTGTGGTAATTTAGCTTTAGCAAGCTTACAAGACAACTGTCTTTACTACCTTAGGACAATTCTGGAATTGAATTCTGTTTTATCTACTTGATTATAAAAACTTATATAACAAATACTGTAAAATACTTTATTTTTGCTTAGAGATAATTTTCGCTGAAGGAATGATTCAGTGAAAATAAAATCCAGCGAATATACATTTTTTTCCTATACTTCTCATTCAGCTCGTAAAAAATCGGTGAAAATAAATTCCATACAAAACACCCAAAAGTCTTTTCAGTGAAAATTAATTCCAGCTAAAATAAAGTATTTTAGAGTATATAGAGTTTCTGTACATAAAGATTTACATGTATGAAACACAATCCTCGTCATTTTTTTTGTGTTAAAACTTCTTTGTTTTGTGTAAGTCATCTGCTAAAAATTTGGGTGTGCATATTAGAATCTGCTGAATGCTTGCATGAGTCAATGTATTGTGAATATTCAATGGGAAATTGGGTTGTTATCTTCTTCTCTGTGACGTCTTTTCTCTTTGATTGCCATAGAAACTTGAGGATGATATTCAGAAATATGAAGCCAGGCTGAAGGAAATCTCAGAAAGAGGTCAGTATATGCTGAGTCAAGATCCTCGTCTCCAAATGTCAACAGAAATTATCAATCTCCGCAACAACTGGGAAGATTTACAGAAACAGGCTAATGTTCGAAGAAATGAGCTGAACAAAGCCAGATTGTTGCAAGAGCAGTACCAAAAGATGATGGATGACTACGCCGATTACCTGGATACAGCCGAGGAGAAGTTGAAGAATGAACAAATAACAGTCTCAGATCTGCAGGATTTACAGGAACAACTTGCCAAATACAGAGTGAGTCATTACTGCCTAAAATAGCAGTGTTGTCATAGAGTTAGGGATAATACCTAGTAAATGATCATGTTAGCAATGAGTTTTTATCTACAAGATAAAACACTTCATTAATACAATACAATTCATTCATTAGAGATGCAATAAGATTCAATGGTTTATAATTTATAACAGGATTTCTTCAGTGATATGGAGGGACATCGATTGGTGATTGAATCCCTGGCACTAAAGACAGACAATGCCACTAGACAGAGATATGCTCCTCTACAAATGAGTCTGTATCAGCGTACTCAGGAACTTCAGGACAAAGCCAATCAGAAAGGCCATCATTTAGAGAGGTTAGGACAGGAATGGCAGCAGTTTGAGAAGATGTACGGTGAATTGAATGGTTGGTTAGCACACATGGAATCTCAATTTCCAAGGGATACTAGAGATGACAACATGGAGGTGGTACAGCAGAATGTACATCGATTCCAGGTAAATACTATATCTTTGGTTTGTTGTGTGTGAATCTTGAAAGTCAATATCAGCAGAATTTATGACCATGTATGGATTTAGTGGTCAAAAAGGAGTGTGTAATTCAAAATCTTTCTTTTAAAAAATGACCTTCTTGAGGACAACTATATAGCTGTTGTCATGGTGATTGCTTACATGATTCTGATCTGTAAATGGCCTTCTCTTATAGAATAGAATACAAATTACGAACAGAATTTCTGTAGGTACATCATCTGTTTTCTCTTCGTTGAATAACTTGAGCTGGTCATTACATGTCCAGTTTTCTACAACAGTTTTTACAACAGTAATGCATAGCATCATCTTGTAGCTAAGTTGATGATTACCGGTACATGATTGTGTTTTGACAGGCAATGAAGACGCTACTTGCTGACAAGCAGCCATCTTTACATCAAGTTATCGACCGAGGACAGAATCTCTTGAAGGATGTCAACTGCCCAGCTCTAGAATCCAGATTAGCTGATGTTGGTGAAAGGTGGTTGGATCTCAATGGTAAAGTTACCAGCAAACTGAAAGTTTTAGAACAACTGTTGGATGCATGGAAGGCATTTGAAACTGGGTCGGTCGAATTGATGGGCTGGTTACAACGGTCATTGGAGGAGTTGAACGAATGGAGCAGTCGTGAAAACATCCCAGAAAAGGGTCCAATTGCATATCAACTAGAAAAATTTATGGTGAGTGATTAGTGATAATTTTTTTTTTTAATTTACAGAAAGCTGGAGCAAAATACTTATATAAATAAATATAAATAAATATAAATCTAGTGAAGGTTTATCACAACCCAGTTAAAGGTGTTTTGATAAAACAATCAATTTCTGTTAAAATAAATATAGCCTTAGTAAAGAAATATAAAAGCTTGCACATATTAACTTGTATTCTTCACATCCTACCCGGTACTATAAGTTATGATATTATTAACATTATAATATTATAAAGCAAATTGGCAAAAAATTCTCAATATATGAATTTTTTAATATAATTTATAACTAGTAGTTTTAAGGTTGAATACGGATGTAGTTTTGACAATGTTAACAATACAGTTCTTTCAGTTTCCATAATACATTGATGCTACGTGATATGGGGTGTCAATTGCTGGATTAAACAAATGGAGCCAGATGTCATTGAGTTAATCTGTAACACACTGTCGTGACAATTTGCCATCTGCAATATTGATTAGTGAACTAGAAGGATGTATCAATGCTCAAATTTGTATTTCCAACATGATCTGTTGACCTTTTTATCAACCAAGTTTGGTTTTAAAGAAAATTATATAGAATAGACTTATGTTGATATTACTGAATAGAAATCAAAAAAAAAAAAATTGCCAAAAATGGTGATATTTTAAGACTACCATAATCTTGATGTATCTTTCTCTCTCTCTCTGTTTTCAATATCACAGGAGTTCAGAAAAGATGTGGATAACCACTGTGTTATTAAAGCTGCCGTGGTAAACAATGGCACCCAACTACTTCGCCTGAAGAAAGCTGACAGCAAGCCAGTCAAAGAAAAGATCATTATGATAGAAAGCCAATGGAATGAACTGATGTCTGAAATCCCAGCTGTACAAGATGAATTACATCATTTGCAGATGGAGATGTTGCCATCACGACAAGCACTGGCAGAATTGATAATGTGGATGGATGGACTCCAGAGGGCGATCAACAGAGATGATATGATAGATTTCAGAGGGTCAATTGATGTTGAGATTGACCTTCGGAAATATAAGGTAATTTTCACACTATTTGTATGAAAATGATGGACAATTGTTATTGTGAGGAAATAGTTAAACTATTTTATACCTATTTGTTGCAACAGCATTTATTTAATAAACTTTCTTGTTTACAGGGTTACAAACTTGACTTACAGTCTAAGCAGTTGACAGTGGACTTCATCAACCAGTCAATTCTCCAAATTAGTCAGGATCACGAAAGCAAACGCAGTGACAAAACAGACTTTGCAGAAAAACTGGGCGTGCTTAACATGAGGTGGCAGTCGTTGAATAACCAGGTGAATGAGCGACTGAAAAATTTAGAGATTTTACTGAAAGACTGGCAAGACTATGAGAAGAGTGTAAAAGACTTGTTGAAGTGGTATGAACAACAAGAATGCAGGATTAAGCGATATGAAGGGAAGATTGGACATGAAATGGGTGTACAACATGCACTGAAAGACTGTCAGGTAAGATGCCTAGTTCCAATATTGATTACAAACTCATTAAACCTGATTATCTAAAAGTGATAAAATGTGTTGCAAAATGTAATATTCAAATTTTCAAAGTTACGTAGTAAAAAACAAAGTAAACTCATGTTGATCTCTAGAGCGGGTAATGCAAAAGAACTGGCAAGAACTGACTTCTGTTGTGGTGGTCTTACAGGTTGTTGAAGAGCTGGTAGAATCTAAGGATCATGAACTGGAAATGATGGAGAAATCAGGTCTGAATCTCACTTCAAGGGCTCAAGTACAGAGAACAATTGACGAAATCCAACAAGCTAAGCAGAATTTATTAGACAAAGGATCCCATTTACAAGGCACTCTTATGTCAATCTCAGATGTGTGGAAACAATATAACGAAGCATTGCTCGTTGTGACCAGGTGCCTAAGTGAAGCTGAATACACGCTGGGTAAATTCAGAACTATTGGTGGTAGACTAGATTCATTCAGATTGAGTCTCTACAAAGTCAAGGTGAGTTCATTCATAGAGTTGATTTCTTTCAAGTTTACATTTACCGGTAATTTATCTCCTTGTAGGGAATCATACTGTGATGGTAATCAATAGTCTGCAGCTGAAAATTTATTCCACAAACCCAACTTTTGTTTATCTCACTGACCTCTTCCAATTGCACAACTGCTCTATGTGAAGTGTTCTATTTTAAACTACCAATGTCTCATCACACAAATCTTGACATACTTGTGAATTAAACTTATTCTTGTAGTTTGTCTCTCGCACCTTATATTTTGCTTTGTGCTATTTTGTTTTTCTTATTCGTGCAGGATTCAGAAGAGAGCACAGATGTTCCCTTGCTGCATGTATGTGCACATCACCACTTTATATAACTTCAGTGCATTGACAGCCATAATAGCAACACTTATATGTGATACAGTGTCATTATGGCTCTTGATGTGCTGAACTGAGCTTTTTAAATATATCATACTTTCAGTTAAATGTCATTCCGAAAAATCTCACTAATTGCACTATCTCTATCATTTTCTATAATAATAATTTGTTCTTTAGCAGACTGTCTTAAGGAACTACCACAACTCTAAATTTTGTATTTTTCCCAAATGATTCAACTCGGGTTTTGGGCTTTTATATTTTGTGAAAATGCATTTTATCAGTTTGAATTGAAATGTACAAGTCTACATTTGCAGTTGCACTGTAGTTGACAATGTTTCAAGAGTCCTTTTCATTTTATTTTTTTGAAAAAATGGACAAACAAATTTAATCAATGAAATAACTTTTTAAAAAGCCCGGAAACTGAAGTGATTAATAAGGACCTACAGATAATACTGAATAAGTACTGTGGAATACTTTATTTTCGCTGGAATTAATTTTCGCTGAAAAGGCTTTTTGGGCGTTTTGTATGGAATTTATTTTCACTGATTTTTGATGAGTTTAATGTGAAATATAGGAAAATAAGTATATTCGCTGGATTTTATTTTCACGGAATCATTCCTTCAGCGAAAATAGCGAAAATAAATTCCAAGCGAAAATAAAGTATTCTACAGTATATCATTTATTTTCAGTAATAAAACATAATTAAAGCTTTATTATGAGAAACTGTCATTGGTATTTATTCTGCTTCATTTATAAAGTGCCTTGTTTAAAACCATAAGAAAATTGAATGCTCTGTTGAAAACTAAATTTTCCAACCGAATTGCTTGTCTATTTATTCCATTCTCAACACTTGAGGGCGCTCTTTGGTGATGGGCATGTGAAGGCATATCACAATGGATCAATCATTTTCATTGTTTTGTATTTGTGGGTTGATAATACATCTTGTGTCTCTTTCTCATGCATTCCATCCATCTATAGCCACAGGATTTAAAGATCATCAAGGTTTCTGACACCATTTCATTCAATACTCTGTGTTTATCTGTATTTGTAATAAAACAATGTCTTGCATGGCGTCTCTTTAAATGTCATTTAAATGTACAATGAGGAGTGTTTTTTTAACCTTTTTCCCCCCAAAATATTTTGCATATTTTAATGTATTTTTTCTATAATTTCTTTGTTAATTTTGGATCTAATTGACATAATTTTCTTTTGGTGCAGGTTTTGATCAAAACTTTGGAAAATATAAACAAAACTTTACCGGTAGTTATATTTTATGACAATTAACAAAAGCTGTGTTCTGTACTCAAAGGTTTAATTGAATGAATCTAATATTATGTTAGCAAGAAACACTCCTGAAATGGTCATATTTAATTTCAGCATTTTTTAAATTTATCTATGTTTTTAAATATGAATATTATTTTTATTAAAAGTAACTTGTTATATACTACCGGTGCAAGCCAGCCGCTGACTTTCTCTTGCAATGCTAAGCAAGAAAATAGAATGTGCTAAATTGATGTGAAGCTGCAAAGGAAAGTCAAATGCTGGCTTGCTCCAGTAGTAAGTTGTATTTTTTTTTTTTTATGTGTTATTATTTCTATATAATGTGTATATTTGATTTGTACATGTATATCAACCTTGACTGTTCTGTAACCTATGTAGTCACTTTGAAACAGAAACTGATCAAACAACAGGAACTTGCGCCATCAAATTTTATCCATTATTGTGTACAGTCTCTGTGCTGTGTATTTGAGACAATATATTTTACATTCATGTATACTTCACATAGAAACCATATCATACATGACACTGTATAATATGTCTATTCTGTCTTCTGTTTCTTTACTCATACTCTGCAATTTATTGCTTTTTATAGGGTCTCCAGACAGAGTTCAAGAACAGTCGTGTTCACTTAGCAACACTCAGCAAGTTAACCAACCAGCTGATTCAAGTGTGTGAGCCGTCTGTTGGCAATGGATTAGAAAGAAATATCTCAGACATCAGTACCAGGTAAGTTGTACATAAGGGTTATAGTTCATATGCATACTTGGCTCAAATCCAAGTCGTGTGTGATATATTGCAAAGTGTTATGTTTAATCTGGTATCATAGCAAGAAAAGATGTGTTGATATTTTCATTGGGAGTGTCATGGAGTAATGTAAAATGGCAACCGATGTGGTAGGGAAGAGGTAAGAACTTTGAATTCAGTTGAGTTTGGTAGGGGATTAGTCCTGAGGTTAAGATTAGGCCTACAGTCTGGTGAAATAAGTCTTACACCAATACATTTGTTCAATACAGTTCAAATTTTCAATCCTTACACTCATTGTTATTACTGATACATCACAGATCATATTGTAAGCATTTCTGAGTTACCAAAAAATATTGGTATATAGGTTTAATTTCCTAGAATTCAAAACAAAGGAATAGTATGGTGGTGTAGGTCTGGAGTCAATGTTATTCTACAATTCCTAATTACAGTTCTGAGTAAAGGTAAAAAAAAAGATTTGGATGGTGACCATATATTTGTTGTCTAAAGGAGATCTTTCATTTGTGTGTGTGTGTTCAGTTACTTAACAAGTGATAGATATCCAATGGTGATTTGACAGCTCCTAGCCTAGATCAGTGGTTGTTAATAGATACACAACTATGGTATTATGCACCATTGTTCATTGTACTAAGATGTATTACTACGCTATGCTAGTAAACAATTCACTACACTTGATCTGTCTGTACTTCTCATTCCAGTTCCTAAATCACTTACTAGTGTAGTGTGCTGCCCTCTAGTGTTGAAATCAGAAAGTTGATCCTAATGATACTTTAACAGTTATTCTGATTGGCAGTGTATTTTAACAAAAACATGCAAAGTGATGTTACAATTGATTTATTTTTGTAAAATCAACATTTTGTTGTCTAATAAATATTTAATATACCATGGTTTGTATTTTACAATGAAACTTGATTAAATTTGATTAAATTTTGATGTTTCTCAGGTGGAAGGCAATTGATGAGCAGATGAGGGACACTCTGAACATGTTTGAGCAAGCTTTGATGCACTGGGAGAGATATGAAGATGCGTACGGCAAAGTTGCAGAGTGGATTGAAGAGAGAGAACGCAGAGTAGAAGACGTTTTATTGGCTGCCGCCGATAAAGACTGGGACGCTGATAAAGAACAAGAGTTAGAATCAGCTAAGGTATCTAAATTGTTTTCATCTCCTGTAAATGTCATTAGTTGAGGCAATATTTGCTTGATTTTTGAAAATAAAGTACACTTAATATCACATCACTTTTAACTTTGATAGATTGTATTCACCCAACCAAATTATTTTGTATTAGTTGTGCGACTTTTTTTATTTCATATATGTGTGTCTATGGTCAAGCCAATTCACATTTTAATGGTTTGCAATTGTTTGTTCTTTGTGTGATTCTGTGGTGGTGCGCTTCTAATATTAGTTGCGTACTAAATTTGGACAGTTTTTTAAATCCTATCAATCTGTAGTATGCACTTGAAATCAGTTTGATGCATCACAAACCAGATGCAGAGTTGATTTGTGGCACAAGTAAAATTCCCTGCTGTATAATAGGCACATCTTACATTGATAGTCATCTTGAAAAACATCTTACTGTTTGTAATAAAATAAATACATTCATGATTTCTAAACAACTGGGCATGCAGCTAAATACAATTATTTTTTTTTCTCAAATACTTCTCTACTAACTGGACCCAACATAATGTTGGAAATTTCATTTTGACTCGGGATCCCTACAATTTCAGTCCTATTGGAGGACACGATGCCAAGCTGTCAAACTTAATTGCAGAAGTTTAAAACAAATTAAAATTTAAAGTGAATCTTCAATAGGAAAGAGAGCCCAAAAGCTAATGTCATCCATCAGTATGTTACCTTGTGCATGTACCAGCAAATACAGAACATGTGTCAATAGTACCCTGTAGCAGAGACCACACTAGAAGCAGCATGTGGCAAGTCCATTACTTATATTAAGTAGTAATTATTTATAATGGGAAGGTACATGCACAGTAGCGACCTTGTTTCAATTGTTTATATCATTTTGCCTCATACAGGAATTGCAATTGGAACTGGACAGCTACCACTGTGTGTCTGGCTTAACAACATTAATAGATCCACTTACAAGACACATGGATAGCACTACAATTGTTACGATAACTTCACAACAGAAATCACTTCAACAGGTGAGAATAACACTCTACGCTGCTTTATTTTCCTTTGAAAGTCATTTCATATTTTGTTTCCCAATTTTTGTATTTTTAGGAATCAACAGTGCAAATTACGCACAGCACATGAACAAATTTTGAAAAAATTCAGCAAATTTTCTTATTCAACAGTATTGTGTACAATAAACCACTTAACTTTTATGAGAGATACATTTTTTTTCACCCGTCAGTGAAATCACAAAATTTTGAAGCATTGACAAATTTACCAGAGTTGTAAAAACACAGAAATTTTATGAAATTTTGTCATCACAAATGCCATTAAATCATATAGTTGCAAAAATTGATTGGTCTACAATGTATTGAATGTGTTGGGCAGTTGATTGCTTTGAACAGCACATGGGATGATTCTTTAGTTGAAGTACAAGTTTTCGTCATCTTTTCATATGTCAGTTAATAGACCTTCTATGGTCAGTTCTGTTTTTAGCTCAAAATAATTATTAGTAAATCATGCAAACTCCATGGTAAAAACGTTTTATTCATAGCCAGAGTGTGAAACACAGAATGCAATAAAACCTGCCCAGCTGTCACTTCCATATAACAATATGGTCTTTATGTGTAAATTATTCTGTAGAAACTTGATAACATGAGACATGCCGTAAATAAACAAGTACATAGCATGGAGAATTACATTGTAGCGCAACGGAAGTTCCAAGATGCATTGCGAGCATTAACATTCTGGATGGAGAATATGGAGGAAGTGATCAGTAAAGATGACCCCAATAGGTCATCCGAGGAGAACTCCATTCGCGATAGGATGGAGGAATTGAAGGTAGGTGCACAGCTATATTTGACTCCTTGGTTTGGTGTGAATTGATGAGAGCGGTTTAAGTTATTTACTGACATTGTTCTGATCTTTAATTTTGGTTGCTATGTTCAGTATCTATGAATTAGGTTACGGTACATTTCATTGACAGCTCTTCGGTTCACACTTTATATTCAGTGCTTGTTATTTACAATGTGTCTGGCTATTTACTTTGTCTGTTGCCATGGTGTGATCTGAATTACTAATTTAGAATCTATTCTCAAACTACTGTATTATATTGAGACAAGTATATAAACAATTATGCTAAATTCTCCCTGGTGATTTGCCAAGTCAATAATCAGTATAAAAGCAAAACCCTATACATGTTTTTGACATATTTTATTGATTAATAATTCCTTAGTCCTTTTCCTGTTTAAAATAAAGTGATATGCTCTTGTATTTTCTTTCATTTTATAATTAATTGCTCTGAGTCACAAGTTTGTAGCACATTGCTTTATTCAGTTGATTAGCCAAGACGTAAATTGCCCTTGATGACCCTGATTCTGATATCATACCAACCATTCCTTTGTATATGGGTTAGGAGACCTGCAGGTCATGTGAACGTATGTGCAGGTCATCCCAGCATGCATTTTGTAATCTGATAGCGCCCTCATTTGATGACTAGTTATATTCAAATCGTAACTGCCAGGAATACAAGAAACGCCTTAGGAGTATTTTTGTTGATAGTAAATTGACTCTTTTGTGGTAAGTTTAAAACTATTTTAGTAAGACTTAAATGATGTCTGGTGTTTTGCTTTAGTTGAAATGACTCTGCATAGGGTTGTACTGTAGTTTATCCTTCAACAGCTAGACAGGACTAAAGTGATAAAAAAGCATTTGCAGGATATGACTCAAGATGATTTTTTTTTTCTTAACCTCATTTTATGTAAAATTTCATTGTTAATTTTTTTTAATTATTCGAATCAATAATGCAAGTTGTTTGAATTGTAACTATAATTATTTTGATGGTTACTATTGACAACAAACCCATTCTCTTCATCTCCCTAAGTATTTATAAATTATGTCAATTGAATAAAATTGGAATATTTTCAAATAACATTTTTGCTTGTTGATTAACTGGTTTGTTTCAACTGTCATTAAAATTTATGAATATTCATGAAGACGACAGGAATATGTTGGTTGTGCCAATAATAGTATCAGTAATAATAATGAACACACTTTAACTCACATTTGTCTATGTATATATAACATGAATTTAATGACATCTCTTTTATACTGTGAAATACTTTATTTTTGCTTGAAATTAATTTTGGCTATTTTTAATGAAGGAATGATTCAGTGAAAATAAAATCCAGCGAATATATTTTTTTCCTGTATTTTACATTAGATTCGACAAAAATCGGTGAAATAAATTCCATACAAAACACCCTAAAAGTATTTTTCAGCGAAAATTAATTCCAGCGAAAATAAAGTATTTTATAGTACTTGATTATGTTGGATCATCATTCTATATATATACTACAGTCTTAAAGCACTTGAATGATATGGCCAAATATATCAAACACTGCAATAAACACTTGTCTAAAGAAATATTATAAATAGCAATATTCAACTTTTGAGTCTGACCAAAACATCATGCCCGATGCAGTTATTGTACATTTCCAGTAAACATATTGAATTCCAATCACCTTCAACCTGCACTGTGTCACTGGCGTATGATAGAATGGAATTTAGGATTATAATTATTATTCTTTTATGTGTTATTCTTGCAGTCTGTAATGCTTCAGTTTACGAACCACAATACGCAGCTAGACTCACTCAATGAGATGGGTTACAAGCTATCTTTAAACGACAGCAATGCCGAGAAACTAACAAATCTGAATCACAAGTGGAATACACTGTCCAATCAGACATCAGAGAAATATCGCAGCTTACAAGGTATCTTGCTACAACAGCAAAGCTTTGCTCAGAAATGCGACACCTGGATGATATTCCTGGCGCAGACTGAGCGCAACCTGGCTGTTGACATTGCTGGGAGTTATGAACTATTACTAGAACAGCAAAAATTATTTGAGGTATGTTACGAGAAATTTATTTTGATGAGTTACTTTTACACTGTTCATTCCAAATTTTTGTTTTAATATGTATCAGTATTTAAATATTTCAAATCATTTTTGAATGATGAGATCAAATTGACTTTGTCTTGTTATTCAATTTTAGAAATTAGTACATCTGTTCACCCAATCTGATTTAAAACTTAAGATACTTTACGGCGTGTATATTTGTTTAATTTCATATATTTTATTTTTTTATCAGTGGTATTTTTTTTTTTTAATTATTGTTACATACATCTTATTTTGTTATTATTTCAGTTATCACCTTGTGGGCTTTCACAATTACCAAAACTTTTAAAAACCTGCCAGCAAATAAATAATAAAATAAAGTATATGAAAAATAACTAAATACGTATTTGAAAAACAATAAAAAAAAAATTGATCACATTGTTAATCAGATTTGTAGCTTTGCCAAAACTTTCCATACAAATATCATTCTTCAAAAATATTTGTTACTCAATTCCTGATATTGTTGTTAGTACAATAAATGTAATTACTTAAAAAAATATCTTTGTTATTAATTCATGTTTTCTTTGCAGTTATTTGAAGCAGATATCTTCAATCGACAACAGATCTTATTCTCTATCATAAGCGATGGTCAAAAGATGCTTCAGGAAGGAGAGGTAGAGGATCAGGAAGAATTCCAACACAAGTTAACGTTGCTGAGTGAGCAATGGCAGAGCGTTGTGAAGCGAGCCAGTCAACGCAAAGAGGTTATCGATAGGGCAATCAAAGACTGGCAAACATACAGAATGATGTTGGAAAGAATGAATGAATGGTTTGGTGAGATGGAACAAGAAATGAAAGGATACGACTTCACATGTCTCACATTACAGAAACTGAAAAATATGCTGGAACAGGCTAAAGTGAGTGTTATCACCAATGGGAAATTAAACTGAGCAAATGTCATGGAGATGTTGTTACTGCCCTCTTGTGATAGGAATGAGAAACTTTTCAATTACTGTAAAATGACTAATTTTCACTGGGTTTAAATTTCGCTGATTTACGATTTCAGGCATATTCAGTGGGTTTTAAATTCACGGTTTTATCATTTAGATAATGTGTTCTATGATCAATTTTACATATTCACTGGGTTTTAATTTAGTGCATTTTCCAGTCAGCGAAATAAGCTAAATTAAAACTCAGTGAATAATTAATCCTTTTCAATAGTTTTAGGCAGTACGATGCTTCAGTTAGTATTTGAAAACAAAATATATTTGAAAACAGTTGGACAAGTTTATTGCCTGTTTAACTCTATTGTCTGTTTGTTAAACAATTTTCTTTTTAGAGGTTGACCAGTTAAAAAGTTGGGGGGTAGTAGATTTGTGTAGGGAATCTGCACAGAGAAAAATTTTAAGAAAAAAATCACAGAATATAAATACATATTTATAAAAAAAAAAAACATTTGATAGCCTAAACAAAATTTAGCTTCTGCAAATAAGTGAAGGAAAAAAATAAGTTGTAGTTTTTATCTCGCCCACTCATAGTTTCTAATGGCCAACCCTTTAGATATTTGTTATTAATCTGAAGACTAAAACTGCCATTGTTTTATTGTAGACTACTCAAAAAGGAGTTGCTATTCAGGAAGGCAACTACTTAACACTAAACGAAGCTGGCAAACAACTGATGCGTATGTCAGACAAAATGGCTAATGAGGTCATCAAAATGGAACTTACTGATGCACAGAAACACTGGCACAGTATTACAACAACACTCAAGAAACAAACACACAAACTAGAAGATCTACTCGGACAGTGGAACAGCACAGAGGAAAATATTGAAGACTTGTTGTCATGGTTACGGGACATTAAAAAGATGCTTACTGTTCCACTGCCATATCTGTATGAAGAATTACAGAGAGACCTTCAGAAATGCAAGGTAAGTGTGTGTTTTTTCTAATATGAAAGTTTAAATTTTGGGAATGCAATATAAATTAGTCTTAAAAAAATATAATAAGAACATGAAGATACAGTGTACTGTACTGTACATCAACTTTCCATTGTGAAGCTGTTCAAAACAACCAGTTTGTGCCTTCAGTAGCTCCCTACAGTTACATAAAATCTTTATTTTTTTGGAAGACCTCTCTTCAATAGGTGATTTTCCGTACAATTGCGAGATCTCGCGAGATGCATGAAAGACGCGCGTCGAACGTCTGCCGCAAAAATCAAACGATTTGATTTTGAACTAGAATTTCTTTATTTCGTAGCTTACATTGACCGGCCGATCTTCGACAGAGGAATATTGCTTCCGAATACCCTTACTTAATCGAAATTGCCTATCATCAAATGTGGACAGCACATTATTAAGCATGGAAATGTCCCCGAAATACTTTCGCGTTTGTCGAATCCCACGCGATGTTTGACGCGACTACGACGCTATGACCTTTGTTTGTCCTGTTTTTACGTTCAATTTCACGCATAACGCGTGATTCTCGCAGTGAACGGAAAATGGTCTATTTAATTTTAGGGATTTTATTTTGACTCAGGATCCCTACAAAATCAGTCAGTACTCTGAAATCTAAACTCAAATTTGAGTTGAGAAGATGTGTTAAATTTTTGTTAAGATATTCATATTTTGTTTCAATTACAGGAATATGAGAATGCCTTTGAGACGTCCAAAGGCAAACTGAAAACACTAACAAACCAAGAACATGAACTTGCTGGCACTATCAATCCAGATGATCTATCAATACTCAGGGAAAGAATATCATTACTGGGAAAACAGTGGGATGAGATTCTACAGCAAACAACCAATAAGAAACAGAGAATCATAGATAAAATACATGAATGGTCACAATTCACAGAAAGATATAAGGAGTTCTCTGATTGGTTGACACAAACGGAAGTCAAGGTGTCTCAGAATGGAGAGAACAGTATTGAAGACTTGCTGTCTAAACTTCTTAATGTAAGTACATTTTATTTTTTATCTGAAATTCTCGCCGTCAATATAACAATTTTGTGTACAATTTTGAAAGCAATGCTTCATGAAAAAATGTAGACTGGGAGCATTATTTTGCAATCAAACAACAAACTACTAAAGTGTTCAGTAAATGGTTTTGAGTTGAACAAGAAAGTATTATAGTCGATTATTATTTTTCCTGCATTTTCGCAAACCCTTCCTATTATATATTGTATAACACCCAATTTGTCTACACTACAAGTTAGAACATTGTGGTCACTAGACACACTGGATTCACAATACTAGTAATGAGAATCATAAAAGTTAAAGAAGCGATAGAATAATAAAGACTGTGCATGCTATTTTAGTATAGGGGGTTTGATGTGATTGATCAATCAGTACATCTCATCAATATCAAGTAAATCAATGTCTAAAATATCATTAGAAATATTAAGTATAATATTATTGTAATTAACCATCAATATAAAAATACCAGCATACCAATGTACATTTATACCTTTTGTATATTTGAAGTTATACCCAAATTTATTGTTTATGGTGGTAGTAACCTTGATGTTTTGTGGTTGTAAACAAGACAGAACTAAAGTTCAAGTAGTTGATATGCATCGTCCATATATCATTTAATTTGACCCTTTTATATACAGTTCTTCAGATGAAACTGAATGGCCTCAAAACGACAAATGAGGTGTGCATGTTTTAATAACATGTTTTTGTTGTTAGAAGTACACATGTATTTGAATTCAGTGGATGTAAATTCTTTACTCTGAGAGTTAGTGTTATGGCTGGTGCCAAAATAAACTGTCAATCACTCTCTCTTGCAACATTTCAATGATCCTGAGAACATGTTGTTGTTTTGACTCCTGTGCTTCAAATTCCAACAAGCTGGCATGCCCGGACACAACTATGGATTTGGATTCAAAATGAAGTTATATTGTGTGAAGTATAAAAAAAAAAACATCACAACATTTTCTTAGATTGGTCTTTGTTGAAATACCAACTTATGCATTTCCCCTTGTGTTTCCCCTCCACTTTAGGAATACAAGGAAGAAGTGAAAATAGCAGCTGAAAATAAACAGCAATTGATAGAATTAGGAGAGAAATTGATAGCCGCCAGTAATGAACTCAAAGCCAATGATATAGAATATAAACTTGCCAAGTTAAGTGATAGATGGCAACATTTGATGGACCTCATAGCAGCCAGGTGAGTCCCACAAATAAATATAATCAAACAGTGACGGATATTCCAATTTATTGTTACAGGTATGTTTTATTAGATGCAATAACTGATTCAGGATAGTATTGCACCAATTATACAAGTAAAAAATATACATGTACTTGTATATATAATTTGTCAAATCAAATAAAGTAAAATGTAATATTCACTTGTACAGTTGGAAATTTCTTAATACCGTTTCCCAAAAATTACATGTTTTTATCATTATCATACTTTGTGCTTTCTGATTGAGATGAACAAGGGTGATAAAAAAAACAGACTTATTTACACAGTAAATCATCTCATCAGTAATTTACAAATGTTATCAAGTCATCTGTTGATGCACTGGGTCTATATATTGATATACTGGTATGCAACAAAGTATTATTATCTCTACCCATGATGCACTGGGCTTCTAGAGATCAAAGTTCATATTTAAACTATTGGTATTTTATGGAGGCCATTAACTTTAGAGCAAGATATGTTAACAAGTAACGTTTTATTAGAACTACACTAATATTTAGTAGACTTGGATCTCAGACAACATTGGGCTTCCTGCAGGGCTTACAAGTGCACTCTTGACTTCAGCAGATATTTCAACTATTGTGTGTACTATACCACCAGCCTCAATGTTCTAAATATACCATGACACCAAGGCTATATATTACAACACGTATTGGGAATTATTTTTAATGTTTCGTCCGTTCTTGTCAAGACTACTTGCTTGTGGCGATCTCAATGTGTTTTTAGCTTAGAGTGGGACGTATCATACTACCATGTCTGTGTCGGTGTTCATGGATTATGTTCTAATACCCAGGTTTGTGTGGATTTATTTTTGTCTGACAGTATCAGCAGTAAACATATTACAGATGCAGCATCTGTGGTACCTGTTCGGTAATTTTTATTTTGCCTATTCTGTAACAGTGAGGAGTACGTTGGGTGATCTGGCTCACTAACAAGCGTTTGTTTTGTTGTTGTTGTTGTTTTGTCACTAATTATGGGAAATTTGTTTATTAGTGTGTTATCATGTGAGATATGTTGTTTGCTAGCACAGATCAGAACTAATTCTTGCACTTGATATTGTTCATATTACACCTATCATTGAAAGTGTACTTTCTTTTTTAGATGTGTTCACAGTCACTCTACTAGGAGAGTGACTGTGATGTGTTTTACTTCAAAGGCAGATAATAATGAGAGGAGTATAGAGGATAATAATTGATTGACATTTGGTGATCATTGTAATTGTGTAATGAGACAAAATAGGGAATTAGTTGCATAACATTATTATGTCATTTCTAAATGTTTTTGCAAATATTATTTTAAAATATGAACCTGTGAGTGAAACTTCAAAATCTTAAATATTGTTTCTATATCAATTGTATTGTATATATTTTAGAATAACTTCATCCAATCTCAAAACATCACTTTGCATTTTATAAATGAGTTCCTCATTCCTTTTCACTTGTCTTTATTAATGCTTGGTATTTGATAAATGGCAGTTATAGTACCACAGTGACTATGATATCATCCAAGTACTAGTATACCAATTGTATTCCTTAGTTAATTTGCATTCTTTATACGGAATGTATTTCCTTCAAATATTTAACTAAATCATTAACGTATAAATGTTTATTCTGTGAACTTTGTGATTGGATTAATAGATTTATAGCCTTTATGTGATTGGATTTATAGCTTTTTTTAAGGCCTAAAAATAATGAAAAGTTTGTTATCAATTTGTCTTTCAAATCGATGCACATTTTTATTTCAAAATTGTGATTTTAACTTGACTCAATATGAAAATTGAAATATCCCTTTTCTAAAATCAGACAAAAATTATAAGACAGACAGTGGTACCCTTCAATGCCAAAGTGAAATCCCAGGGATTTAAATTAGATGCTACATGTGTGCATGATTTTCTTTAAGCTCTAGAATAAATACTCCATAATTTTGCCATCATTATCAGGATATTTATCATGACACTGAAGAAGGCAGGATGTATAGTCTTCAGTTACACAAAGGCTAAATTTAAATATTACAGTGAAGCATTACTGTCTTGATTTAGCTTGAGTCTTATTTAGATTTATCATGCTTTCAGTTTTAAAAATCATATTATTACCAGGATTATTCAGAAGTGGTTTTAAAAATTAAAAATGAAAAACTGTGTATTATCCAGTTATCTTGAAACATTTTAATTAATTTACTTCTACAATTCAATTTCATTGGAAATAGTAGCCCCTGCAGTGTTTGCATTGGTGACCATAGTGTTTATATAACAGGCTGTAATCTACGGTTCTGTGTGTGTACTGTGTTCTGGGGTTTAATTCTCAATGGTGTACTTCCAAGTCCATATTATACTATTTTTGTTTGTTTGTGACCATAAAGGGACGTTTTCACAGTTTCAATCATGGACTTTATTCACTTCAATGAAGGAAGTCCTATTCAAAAGTACTGTGGAATACTTTATTTTCGCTGGAATTAATTTTTGCTGAAAAGGCTTTTTGGGCGTTTTGTATGGAATTTATTTTCACTGATTTTTGATGAGTTTAATGTGAAATATAGGAAAAAAAGTATATTCGCTGGATTTTATTTTCACGGAATCATCCCTTCAGCGAAAATA